CTCTCTCTCTCTCTCTCTCTCTCTCTCTCTCTCTCTCTCTCTCACACACACACACACACACACACACACACACACACACACACGGTATGTGAGGCGATCAAAATCGTCGGATTTGCTGAGTATGCAGCTGCGGACTGGTTGTCGCGTACGTACAAGAACGAACACGCCAGACCGCGCGTCAAACCTGTAGCTCAAGCCGCTCTGCCATGTGATGTTTTAAAGTCGCTCTGCCCTGTGATGTTTTACTGATCCGTTGACTCCTTGTTGAAAGCTTGGCTGATTGATAGTCTGATTGATAGTCAGACCTGATTGAATAACTGACCGGTTGGTTCGTTGATTGGTTCACTGGACTTTCCTTGACTAATTAGTTAAGTGTTTGACTGCAATCCGTCCGCGCAGGCTGCAATGCTAATATCTACCTCGTCCTGGCACAAAGGGACTCGGATGATTAGGTCAGCATTCCAGCAAAGCCAGTCCAGTCAGTCAGTCTGTCTATCTACCAAGTGTAGATAGGGTCCTGTGCACGTGTGGAAACTTTGGGCGCTTGGGGCGTCGCTCCACACCCAACTGGACAAAGCAACGGACTAATTTGCCTGGGCAAGCTTGGTGTTCTACCAGCTAGAGATAACCCGTTGGCCCCCCAAGCCACCGTTGGCAGGACCTTGGCTGATGTTGTTGGTTGCTATGCAGCGACAATATTGGCCATTAGACACCGCCATGTGAGGTTGGGGAGGGGTAGGGGGAGGTGCAGTGATTGGCCATTGCTCGGCGCTAGCACCGCCTATTTCCCCCATCGGCACTGCATGCCCACCCCTCGCGACGGTGATGAGGGACCGGTACAGCCTTGCTCTTGCACCACTGCTGCAGTGCCAACCTAACCCCTGGGCTAGGGAGAGATCCAGGTTGATTCGTGTTCCCCCGTACTATACATAGACTACTGGTGAGATACATGAGTACTGGCAAGAAGATGAGATAGATAAAAAAATAAATAAAGCGACGGACTGATAAAGCATTTTCAATGCATTGGGACCCCTGACAATTTTCTACTGCATGGGCGCGGGGAACGCAGCCCTAAGGTAGCCAAAGCAATGAGACTAAGAGCACGCACAAGAGAGAGAGAGAGAGAGAGAGAGAGAGAGAGAGAGAGAGAGAGTTTTGTTCTATTTGTTAATATGAATGAGAGAGAGAGACAGAGAGCGAGAGAGAGAAACAAAGAGAGATAGAGAGAGAGGGAGGGGGGGGGGGGCTACCAGAGAGAGAGAGAGACAGTTTTGTTCTGAGTGAGAGAGAGAAAGAAAGAGAGAGAGAGAGGGAGAGAGAGAGAGAGAGAGAGTTTCATTTGTTGATATGAGTGAGAGAGAGAGAGAGAGANAGGGAGAGAGAGAGAGAGAGAGAGTTTCATTTGTTGATATGAGTGAGAGAGAGAGAGAGAGACAGAGAGTGAGAAAGAGAAAGAAAGAGAGATAGAGAGAGAGGGAAGGGGGGGGGGGCTACCACAGAGAGAGAAAGAGAGAGGCTGAATGGCAAAATTGAAATATGGGTCAAATTGTGGCCGCGATCTATTTCACAGTTGGAATTTTTTTATTTTTATTTTTAGTATTTTTTAAAAAAATATCACAACAAAATCTACGAGTATTCCAATTTTCAGGTTTTTTCACGCGTTCTTCTGAGCGCGAAAACTCACTGAATTTGGAGTACTTTTTCAGTTGGCCCACACATGGCTAAGTGGCAAAAATGGAAAATGTGTCGAATCGCCGCGACGATTATTTCGCAAGCTAAATGATTTTTTGAAAATGTTGTGATATTTTTCCAGGAAAGAACACGACCTCATCTGTGGATTCTCAAAATTTCAATTTTTTATGCGAATTCCTCCCAGTACAAAAACGTCAAAGTTGTCTCTTGCAAAACGCCTGTTTCGTTGCACCTTACCTCCCTGTTTTGAGAAGACGGACCTCAACACTTGGGCCTGAGGGCCCTTTTGCAGTTCACATGCCCTCACTTCTTTTTGGGGTCCGCTTCCACCGGAGGACCGGTCCTTCCTTTTTCCAAAGGTCTCGGTTCTACCAGAGCTAGTTATAGGTAGTCCGCAATTTTGCCAAGGACCGGTCCCCCAATTTTTTTCCACCCCTAAGAACCCACTTTGCATTCTGGTCGCCTGCTGCAAAAATTACGACACCTTGACACAGACGCGGAAACCCACTATACCGCAGCCTTAGGGGTGCGAATTTCAGATACACTTCTTAATACTCGACACGTATCCGGACAGCATATTGGACGCGGGAACGCAACCCTAAGGTAGTCAAAGCAATGACACTAAGGGGCTCGTCACACAACCTTTCGAATGAAGGTCTTTTCCAAAGGGTGTTAGACTTTTTTCGAAAGGTTGCTCCTCGAAAGGACCCCCCCCCCTCGCCACACAGACTTTTGAAACACCGAGGCCTTTCTATATGCACATTACAGTCTGGCTCCACCGCTATCGACATGTGTAAAACGAGAGTGTGAATCTTTGGCTAGAATATGAAAAGATACGTCACTAATTTTTGTCTTTTGTGCACGTAGAGAGTAGCTGAGCCAGACCCTTGTAATCGTTTTTTTTTTCCTTTTTTTCCCCCCAATCAACTGTTTCGAGTAGGCCTTTTTACAAAATCACTCGAGATCTTTCGAGGAAACGCTCGTGGCAGGCAGGAGGATCTCATCTCTTCAAAATGACTTTCGGCGCCGGCCAATCTGACACCTTTCAAAACTTTTTCGAAAGAACTTGTTTCGAAAGACTGTGTGGTGAAGACACGGCGTCGATTTTTCGTGTTTCGAACGTCTGTGCAGCGAGCCCCTAAGGACTCGCGCGCGCGCGCGAGAGAGAGAGAGAGAGAAAACGGAAAAAGGGAAAAAGGAAAGGAGGGGGGGGGGAAAGCAAAGAAGAGGAAAAGAAAAGAAAAGAAAAGAAAAGAAAAGAAAAGACAAGGAAAGGAAGAAAAGAATAGAGCAAGTATTTAGACGAGAGGATCAGGAAAAAAGGAAAAAGGAAAAAAAGGGGGGAAGGGGGAAAAAATCAGGGTGGGGGGTATGCATCCTCCCGAAGCGTCCTCCGGCATTCGCAGACCCAGTTCCCGCCGTCGCCCTTGCTGCTCCCATCATCATCATCTGTATGTGTGTGTGTGTGTGTGTGTGTGTGTGAGAGAGAGAGTCTCTCTCTCTCTCTCTCTCTCTCTCTCTCTCTCTCTCTCTCTCTCTCTCTCTCTCTCTCTCTCTCTCTCGTGCGCGCGCGCGGAGGGTAGGATCACGTGGTACAGTTGGCAGTGAACAAAGGTGAACTGCAACATGGTGCAGGAAGAGGAGGATGAGGACAGGGCAGGAAAGCATGGGAGCGAAAAAAAGACACACATGGAGCAGAGGGTGACGGGCAAGAGGCAGTCCAGGGGGAAAAGAGCTAAAACGGGGAGGGCGAAGAACAGCAGGACGTTAAAGAGGATGCATCATAATAGGGGCAATAGAAAGGTGACAAGGATGATGATGATGATGATAATTGGGGAACGAAAATGGGACGCGGGGGAGGTTGGGAAGAGGAGGGAGCAGAACGATAATGAATCAGTCAGGGAGGCAGACGAGGGAGCACGCCAGCATGGAGGGAGGAGGGTGGAGGATGGAGGCGGAGGAGGGAGGAGGGAGGAGGAGCACTTGCAATCTCTGATTTCATTTTTGTTGATTCGGTGTGCTCTCCTTCACTTTTGTTTTTAGGCCTTCTGAGCACATACGCTCATTGTAACTTTTTTTGGGCTGTACTTGGACGTCAGTTCAGTCGGATGCATAAGTTCTTGCATCTTCTGTGTATCAAGAAGGGTATAACACCTACAACAGTAGGAAATTTTGAGCGCATGCAACTGCGATTATGGCCACATTCATTCGAGCCAATGAATCTCCGTGTAATTATGGTCTGGTTTCTTCTAACAAAGACCGTTAGTACATGAGCAAGCTCTACGACCATGAGGCTGACAAGAGAGGAATGCTGGGTTTTTGGCTGAATTTAGCTGTTGTCACAGCCAGATTCAGTGCAACAGTGTCGCATTATGAGAGGTTGCTCTAAGGTCACAAAGCTGGCGAATGGAACATAGGGATTTTTGGGTGATTA